GGCTTTTTACTCATTAATATTTAATCATTTTATTACTAATTAATACCATCTCTGTTGCCTCTCATATTTAAGCATTCATATTTTAGTATCCAGAGATCCTCTGTGGCTCTCAGTGTCCCCTCCTAACTGGCTGGAAAGGAGCTATGGTGGCGCTGTGGATTAGGTATTGGCTTGCTAACCACCAGGTGTGTGGTTCAAACCCACCAGGCCCTCTACAGGGGAGAAGTGAGACTGTTTGCTCTCCTGTAGAAGTTCAAAGTGACTCTGGCAGTGTGTTTGTTTGGTTTTGGTGGCTGGCTAGACCAATTTCCAAGTTGATTGGGAGATTGGTGGTGCCCTAAGTATACACTATAGTCCAGAACTAACAGAACTGGGTTTGTAATTAGTGATAAACTTGATGGGGGGCGGGCCTGTTTTGCCTATGATTGTAAACCCTTTATTTGCATTTCATATTTATATTTCACCTTCTACTAAAGCGCATTTTTTGGTAGCTACAGCGAAGGTGTTCCCCCACTGTCAAGATGACCCAGGGGACTCGGCACACTGGAATTGAGCCAGTGTGACGGTTTCGGTTTTCACTGGTTGGTCTCCAGAGGTAGATCGCCAGGCCTTCCTTGTAATCCATCTAGTCTGAAGTGCCACCTGTTCACTATCATCCAACAAACACACAAACGAACAAACAACTAAACCCAAACAAACTGCCATTGAGTTGATGCTGACTCACAGGGACCCTATAGGATCGGCCAGAACTACGCTTGTGAGTGTGAGGCAGTGACTCATTGTAGGAGCAGAAAGCCCGCCTGTCTCTGGTGGTGCATTACAGCAACATGCGCACCTCCAGTGACAGCTGCATGTGCAGTGCATTAGCTGGGAATTAAACCTGGGTCACCCTGATAGACAAGAATTCTGCCACTGAACTTCTAGCACCCTCACTGAGACTCACTGTCTTCAAATCGATGCTGACTCATGGCGGCCCTACAGGCCAAGGTAAAACTGTCCCTGTGAGTTTCCAAGACTAACCCCCCCCCTCCAATTCTTAAAGGATCATTTTATTGGGGGCTCTTCCAGCTCTTAAAACATACATCAATTATATCAAGCATATTTGTACATATGTTACCATCATTGTTTTCTAAACATTCACTTTCTATTTGAGCCATTAGTATCAGCTCCTTTTTATCCCCTTTCTCCACCCTCGTGACCCCTTGATAAATGATAAATACTTTTTATTTCTTATACCTACTGCTGTTTCCATTCCCCTTTCATTTCTGTTGTTGACACCCTTCCGATCGCTCTCCCCTCCTTTCCTCCCCTTCCCTTACCCTCCTAGTATCACTACTACTATTTCTGCTCCTGGATTTTGTGTGTTGTGATCTCTTGTCTCTTATCTGTACCTGTGCACATGCTCTGGTCTAGCCCACAGGGAAAGGCAAGACTGGGGCCATGATAGTGGGGGGTGAGGAAGCCTCAAGGAACCAGAGCAATATTGTGTGTTTCATGGGTGCTATACTGAGCTCTGGTTGACTCAGCCCTTCCCTGTAACCCTTCTGTGAGGGGACGTGGGACGTCCCATTGTCTACAGGTAGGTTTTGGTCTCTGCTCCAATCCCCCTTGTTCTCAACAATATGGTTTTCTGTGTTTGTTTGGGGTCTTCTGATGCCTGTTACCCAATCCCATCGAAATCTCGTGATCACACAGGCTGGTGTGCTTCTTCCATGTGGGCTTGTTGCTTCTCTGCTAGATGGCTGCTTGTTTAACTTCAACCTTTAGGACCCCAGATGCTATATCTTTTTGTAGTCTGGGTCCCATCTGCTTTCTTCATCACATTTGCTTATGCACCCAGTTTGTCTTCAGCGATCATGCTGGGAGGGTGAGCATCACAGGACACTGTTAACTCTTTATGGGAGTAGAAAGCCCCCATCTTTCTCCCGAGGAGCAGCTAGTGATTTCCAACTGCTGACCTTGTAGTTCTCGGCCTCACAACTAACCCCTGTGCCACCAGGACTCCCATTGAGACTAGAGAGGGCTATTTATTACAGTGAATGCCCATTGAGTCCTCTCCTTTTGATACTCACATGACATACCATAAAAATAATGAGTGAAATTGGAGGTTTGACTTTTTGGTGGTGTTTACTCTTTTTTGGTCAATATTAGCAGTATTGATAAGACATGTTGCTGGCAAGAAAGTCATAGATTTGTGGGGTATGAACGGAGCACTGCCATTGACTGTGACTGGGACAGTTCCAGGTCTTTGATAGCCTTCGTGAACTGAGACACTATCGCTACATGTGGGCAGGCTGGACGTTGTTAGGTGCTGTTGAGTTGGCTCCTGTCACCACCACGTACAACAGCGAAGCACTGCCCAGCCCTGCGCCATCCCATCAAGCAATGGGCGTGAGGCCATTGCTGCAGCCACCATGTCTGTTCATCTCCTTGGAGGGCTTCCTCTTTACTGCCCTTCCACTTTATCGAGTCTGATGTCCTTCTCCAGGGACTGGCTGGACATAAAGATTAAATAAGATAATATACATGAGATGCTTATCCCAGAGCCTGCCTTCAGAGTAGAACAAAGTGAATTGTGCCTGTAATTACCATTGTTATTAAATACCTATAAATCACATCTAGAATGGTGAAATTTGTGGATAGCATGAGTTATTTGAGGATTAAAACTCAAAAGACGTGAATTTTTCAAAAGGACATGTGCTTGTATTCTCACAGTTTTCTAATAACCGACTGTGAGATGACATGGAAGAGCATAAGAGAGGCATATGTGCATTCCTTATGGGAATGCGCTATTCTTCCTAAGGGAAACTATCTTCAGCTGCACCCTGACTCTGTATCCATTGGTGAGGATGGTGATAAAGAGAAAATAAATGATTACTTTCCCTGTTTACTACGGGGACTATTTGCTTTAGGCTAAAACCAGAATTCTATTTAAGAATTTTGCTAACTTAGAAAATAGATGGAGTGCGCATAGATGATATTTGGACCAGAAAAGGAGGGAAGCGTGTTAAGGAGATGGATTTATCTGGCAGCTAACGGCTGTGTAGCGATTACTTCACTCCATTTCTATTGAAGGGTAACACTCAAGCTAGTGCTCCTGATATTAATTCTAAGTAAATATTTTAACTTAAATGATGTAAAAGAAGAAACAGATTTATTTTTGGTCAAGATAATTAAGTACTGTTTCATCATTGAACCTCAATGAAATTAATGTTTGTTTTTTTCTCCATGGTGTTTGAATTGAGTCAGAAGTTACAGTGATTCTAGAATTACAGATTTCCGAAGTCTAACCTGGACGATGGTGTGGAACACTTAGGATATCATTAGCTCAGAATGATTAACTCACGTGGGGACAAAAAAAATGCACATAAATATTTTTTGAGGACTACAGGGCAAAATTACATTTTTGAATGAAAATAGTAGCCTTTACCAAAGAGAAATAGATGTTTCCGCTGTCAGTTATCTTGAAATGAAGTTGATACCAGGATTAAGTAAGGTTGTGACTCATTTCAATGGCTGAGCCCAAACATTACAGACCCTCCTGTTATAACTCTCTCTTACTAATACGCTTTAGAACGATGTCCTAGGATATCACAGTGAGGACTTTATGAACCAATCTCACTTAACCTGTTAGTGCATTTCTCATTCATTTATTGAAATAATAATTGTTGGGTTTTGAAAGGTGCTGAGTATGTTGGTATCCATGAAAGAAGCGGCTTTGGTCTACGTGGAGCTGATCGTGTAGAGGGAGAAATTCAATGTTTAACACTCTGGTTGTCTGGTGTCTGCTTAAGGTGGTGAAAGGAAACCAGAGAATATCAGCACATAAGACCGGAGCATTCTCTTAATACTCTGGACTCTAACCGGTTATGTTGATTTTAAAAAAAAATCATCTTATTGGGGGCTCGTACAACTCTTATCACAATCCATACATAACATCCATTGTGTCAAGTACATTTGTACATTTGTTGTCCTCATTTTTTCACCTCCCACCCCTCCCCCCTCCTTACGAGCCCTTGATAATTTATAAATTATTATTATTTTGTCATATCTTACATTGCCTGACATCTCCCTTCAACCACTGTTCTGTTGTCCATCCCCTAGGGAGGGGGTTATATGTAGGTCCTTATGATCGGTTCCCCATTTCTACCCCACCTCTCCACCCTCCCAGTATTGCCACTCGCCCCACTGGTCCTGAAGGGATTATCTGTCCTGGATTCCCTGTGTTTCTGGTTCCTATCTGTACCAGTGTACATCCTCTGGTTTAGCTGGATTTGTAAGGTAGAATTGGGATCATGAGAGTGGGGGAGGGGAACCATTAAAGAACTAGAGGAAAGTTGTATGTTTCTTCATTGCTAGGTTGCTTTTTTAGCCACTGTGCACAGGACAAGCTAGTACACCAAACTGAGAAGTCTGGAGAAGTGCTGCTCGCGGCCTCGCCTCCTAACCCAGGGGATGAGTGGCCCGAGAAATGTAGTAGTAAATCTAGCAGGGCTGCCGGACTATAGGACTTAGGTCTGGTCTGTGACTCAGGTTCTGTCTCTGGCTCCATGATGAAACTTGGGGAAAGTCAACAGAATTTAACTGACTTGAAATGTCTTATGGAAAAATGAAGGTTTCTGCCATGAGAATGGTTTTTTAGTACTCATCTCATTGGATTGCTGTGAAAATTCTGTAGGATAATAATTGTACAGTACTCCACCTCATGCCTGATACCAATGCTACTAAAGCTAACAAATAGTTGAGTAGCCAGTCTTTTGTGCCAAGTGCTATTCGAGGCATTAGCGCTAGTGTACTGCTCTATGCTACGAGGAACAGCTAGTGATCTCCATTTTCCAGGGCTGGAATTTGAGCAAACACAGGGAAGCTGGAGAACTTGCATCCTGTAGCTAGGAAGTGACTCATAGCTTTCACGAAAGCAGAATTGTTATTAGGTTGACACTTCAGCTGTTTTTGATGATGTTGACATGTTGCTTCATGCTCTTCTTCGTTCTCCCTAGGTGTCATAGAGACTTCAGATCGACTGGACCGGGAGCTGACCTCTCATTACTGGCTGACAGTCTATGCAACCGACCAGGGCGTAGTGCCCCTTTCCTCATTTATAGAGATCTACATAGAGGTTGAGGATGTCAATGATAATGCCCCGCAGACATCAGAGCCTGTTTACTATCCAGAAATAATGGAAAATTCTCCCAAGGACATATCTGTGGTACACATTGAGGCGTTTGATCCTGATTCTAGTTCTAATGACAAGCTGGTGTACAAAATTACAAGTGGAAATCCACAAGGATTCTTTTCAATACACCCTAAAACAGGTATGTGCAAATATGATTTAAAGCATCCATGCTAATACTCCTAATTGAAGGAAAATTAAAAATTAAAACTTATCTATTATATACTTTTGATGTGTTTTCCCTTTTGAGTTATTCAAATCAAGCCTTTATTTCCAGTGAAAATTCAGTCCAAATAGGATTTTTCCTTTGGATTTGCTTTTATAAAGCTTCTTAATGATTCTTGCCTAGTAGAGTTCCATTTTCAGGTTAAAAAGGAAATACCGTTTTAGTACTAGTTCCTAAAATAGTTATAGGTTTTTTAAGTATTGAAAATTTTACTACTGCGAAGTATTTATATTTTAATAACTCTGCTTTCTATGAAAGTATTTTACAATCTAGAAGTTTATGTATGCTGTTCTTAAATTTACCCACTGGGCAGTGATACATCTGCGGGCAGTTCGAGGTGGAATTAAGCAGTTTTCAGATGGTGAGCGATACTTCCTTGAAATTAGAGTCTTGGTGTCTGTGACCTCCTGCTGTAGCTCCCTCATTCTGGAACCCTGCTCCAGAAACTTCTCATCTTTACTCACGTGATCATTTAGTCTTTCATTTTTTCTTAGTTATCAATTCTCTTTTGTGTCATGTCACACCCAGCCATCGCTCATTTGTGTTGGGGCACTTGTGGTTTATCAAGTCTCACCTTTCATGAGAGACACTAGGGTTTGATTCCCTGGCCAGTGTACGCCTTGTATAGCTGCCAGGGGCAGCATGTTGCTGCAGTGTTAAAACAGGTTTCAGTGGAGCTTCCCAAATAAAGACAGACTGGGAGAAAGCCTTACAGATATCCTTCTAAGAGTCAGCCATGAAAAACTTGTGGATCATAATGGTTGGATCTGCAGTGGTTCATGGGGATGATGCAGAAGCAGGCACTGGTCTGTTTGTGCATGGTGTCACCATGAATCGGGCTAGGCTGGGCCACCTTGACAGCAACTACTATCATTTGTGTAGGGAACAAAGGTCTCAGACATAGGAACAGTTGTAAAGATGTCGCAGGACTGTGCAGCATTTCATTCTGTTGTGCATGGAGTTGCTATGGGTCTTTAGCGACTTGGTGGCACCTAACAGCAGCAAGTGAAAATGTGGCTATTTGTGCAATGAAAAGAACATACAGAGTACCATGGACTGTGGTTTCTTGATGAGAGCAAAACTATGAACTGCCGCATGACACTGAAACAGTTATCCTTATTAAAAATATTGCTGGTTTTGAGCAGAGATATTTTAGTTACTCGGTGCTTGCTGGTAGAGGTAAAATCTTTGCAAAATTCTGAAGAGGTAGTTTAACTCATTTAATTTATTTAACCTTTATCCAGGGAGCCCCGGTGGTATAGTGGTTATGAGTTGGGCTGCTATCCACATGGTTGGCAGTTCAAAACCACTAGCAGTTCTGTCTTTCTGGGAGAAAGACTGAGCTTTCTACTCTTGTAAAACAGTTATCGCTTTGGACACCCACAGGGGGTGGCTATGAGTTAGCATTGACTCCATGGCAATGAGCTTGGTTTGGGATCATAGGAACCCTGGTGGCACTGCTGGGTAATAAGCATTGGACATCTTAGATGCAAGGGCAGTGGTTCAAATCCACCAGCTGCTGCTCAGGGGAAAAATGAGACTAAAGATTTACAGTCTAGAAAACCCTAGATTGTCTATGTTTTCTGTCATGCTTTTGTTGGACAAAGACGACACTGCCTGTTCCATAAAGATTGATAGTCTTGGAAACCCAGGGAGTTTCTGTTGTGATCGGTTGGGGTTGCTAACAATCAGAATTGACTTGATGGCTGTAGGCTTGTCTTGTTTTTTTCTTGTTTTATCCCACTGCTAAGGATCCTTAGTGACATAGTGGTTGAAACCCTGGGTGGCTAACCAGAAGAATACAGCAGCCGTTCCACAGATGAAATATGTGACTGATTTTGTAAAGGTTACAGTCTAGGACACCCGACGTGGGAGTTTTACCTTTGTCCTGTATGATCGCGGTCATCCAGGGTCACCTCACTGGTTATGCAGTGAGGGTCACCCTCACCCTCGCTTGTGTGTGTGTGTGTGTGTGTGTGTGTGTGTGTGTGTGTGTGTGAAGGAAATAAACCAAAGCAAACTAACTGTCATGGAGTCAGTTATGACCGTATAGGACAAGGCAGAACAGCCTCTGAGTTTCCAAGACTAACTGTTTATGGGAGTAGAAAACCCTGTCTTTCTCTGAAGGAGTGACTGGGTGATTTTGAGCTATTGCCGTTGTGATTGCTGCTCAAGACATACATAACCACATACATGACAGGGGCTTCTTAAATGTGGAGGTCCAGGCACCGCTGGGATTTGAACCTGAGATTTCTTGTTTACTAGACAGGCAGTTTAACCAACTAAGGAAATACCAAAATAAAAATTAAAATAATAATAAATCAAATAAATAAAAATAGAAATTAGAGAAAGCATCCTTTATCCTTATCAGTCTTTGTTATTCCTTTTTCTGGCATTGTTTTAATTTCATAGCTTCCTTTGTAATTTAGGAGCTGTAGTGTCGTAGTGGGTTACACGTTGGATTGGTGGTAGGAAACTACCAGCCACCCCTCTCCCGTAAGGAGTTACAGTCTCAGAAACCCCAAGGGGCTGTTCTTCCCTGTTCTACAGGGTTATTTTAATTAGTGGTTCTTAACCTGTGAGTTGCAGCGCCTTTGGGGTTTGAACCACCCTTTCACAGGGGTCGCCTGATCCATAACAGTAGCAAAATGATAGTTATGAAGTAGCAACGAAAATAATGTTATGGTTGGGGGTGTCAGCGCAACATGAGGAACTGTATGAAAGGGCCGCAGCACTAGGAAGGTGGAGAGCCACTGCTTTAATTGGCATGGGCTCCTTGGCAGGGCTCCTTGGTTTGTTGAATTTGAGAGGTACCATTCTTACAGAGGAAAGACATTTTAATCTTTAGGATTGTAACCATTGCTTTTTAAAAGCCCGATAGAGGTCATGTAGGTATGCAGTGTTCTCTCATGGGAAGTATATAAAATGTCACTTCTTCAACCTTGTCAGCATTCATGTTGGGACTCCTTTTCTTGACAGTTAAAACATTAGTCCAAGACTTGTTTTGATTATGAGTCCTTTTTTGCATGGAGACACTTCTGCTCTGGCCCTTTGGGTGGGTTCTGATGTGCTTCTCTGGTGAAGCGGAGGGAGGTTTGAATCCCTAGACAACCAGTGATTGGTGACTAAGGATAATTAAACCTTATACGAATTTAATGCTGGAGGACATAAATTAATAGGGTCTGTCTTTTGGAAGCAGTGGAGACAGGATGCAAGAAAGACACCCTAGTTCAAGACAACAAGGCTGGAATTAAGAGAGAACACCAAGACAGGCGCAACCTGAACCTCATTTCCAAGGGGTGCCTCAAAGGCACCTTGCTTTCGCAGGGTGGCTGTGTGTGCTCTCGTTACTGAGCAGTGGGGAGCACGCGCAGTCATCTTTTTCTGTGATGTAAGAAGAAAAAGAAAAAAACCTTAAAGCTGAGAAATTAGAAACCAACTCTGTTGCTGTTGGTTCAGACGCCTGGCGACCCACGTGTGTCCCGGTAGAACTGTGCTCCCGAGGGTGGGATGTTCCTGACACAGGCATCTCCACAGGCGGGAGCTGTGGGCCAGGCCTTCCTTTCTCAGCACTGCTGGAGGGGTTCAAATTTCACCTGTAGACTGTGCCACCTGAGGTCAGCACTCTAACATACTAGAAAACGTCTAAACATTGGGCAGCTGCTGTCAGATATGAAGAGGGTCTCAGAATTTTGGGGGAGGATTGCTGAGTCAAGAAACTTACTTGGTTAGAAGCAAAAGATCACTGACCTTGAGAGAGAAATCTCAATGAAAGCCCGCAGATGGCATTTTAGGGACGTTCCTACCTCCACTTTAAATGTGTTTGGTGATTTAGACTTGAAAATGTTTCCATATTTAATAGATCGTCTTCCTCTTTTTAAGATTAGATTAAGTTCTTTATGTAGAAACAGGTGAGCAAGCAAAAATGCCCTTTTGCATATCCAGTCAAACAAAGTCTGAGCGGCAAAATACATGCTTGAAGACGAAAGAGGGAAAGAATGCGCCTTTAAGACATGTAGGTGAGAGCTATTGGGGGTCCCTGGGCCTCTGAAATAAGGATATGGGGGGAACCCCAAGTGTTCTGCTGGCAGGGAAGCAGGAGAAAACAGACTAGTATTTCCTGAGGGATCCGCCTGCCTTTCATGAGTTAAAGGCAGAGAGCAGTGGAGAATAGCTCGAGTTACATGTAACAACACATCAGGGCATTTGTTGTAACTGGTACTATATATAAGCTGCCTGGTTAGCAAAGGAATCAGATCATCCCACAAATCATCTAAGTCTCTAAAGATTAAGAAATAAGCTTCTTTTCTTGCAAGGGCGTTCTTAAAGAATAATCTAAATATAGTGCCACAGGGTCTTTCTGCACCTCGAGCTCAGCACACGCTTAGGGCGGGACTCTGAGCATTGTGTGTGTGTAGACCTAATCATCCTCAAAACCTGGATGGCAGACTTTGAATATGTAGATTCGTGTTATTGGGGACCAGCTCGTGAAAGTGGATGAGAGACTCTGGTTGAGGGAAGTCCTGATTATTTACTGATACAGGAAACGCCCCTGGAACCCCTAAATCAAATCACTTAATAATTAATGGTCCATTGAGGCAGTCACTGGGCTGAAAATTGGAACACCTGGGTCATTGGGAGACTTTACTGCAAGGACTTTGGAGAACCTGACTTCCAGGTCCTTCTATTTTGTGACTATCCTCCTGTTTGGGAAGGTCTGTGCAGAAGGCAGAGACCTCTGCATTTACCAGAGAGAGGCCAGAGATCTAACGAAGGCCATCCTGTCTGCAGCCTCCTCTGTGTGCACACACAAACACTGTCCAGAAGACAAAGGAGAGTTTTGTAGATTAATACATGTAGACAACGCCCTTGAATACATTTGCTGAGTAAAATTGGTCTACTTGCTCCTTGCCTGC